CCTTGTTCGTTTGATCCTTTCACCGACATAATAAAACAGGGCACACAAGGACGTGACGTCTTCTTCATCGTGAAAGGCGAGGTTGAGGTCATCAGCATGAATGTACCAGAGCAGAACGGTACCACTTCACCCATAGGTCGTCGAAAATCCATCGCCGCGGGCGAGCAACATTTCCAGGAAGTAAAGGCCCGATTGAGGCCCGGGCAATACTTTGGCGAGGTCGTCAGTCTCTCGCTTGCGCCACGCCGCACCGCTACGGTCCGCTCCGTATCGGCTGTTGAATGTCTTATGATCAGCGGTGACACTTTGAACCACCTCTGGGAGAAGTGCACTCCAGATGTACGCCGACAGGTCGAGTCGGTCGCGAAGGAGCGGTTACGGACCGCCAAGGACGAGGATGTACACATGCTGGACGCGAATAGTACACCCAACATCAACGATCTAGCCATAGCGGACCACATAATACCCCGTACACCACGACGCAAGAAGAGTGTGCCAACTGTCACTTTCAATGACACCATCGACATCGATAATCCGGTGACACCCACCCGGAGAGACGAAAAGATGATGGAACCATTTGATCCAGACCCATTTCTTAATGTCGATTTGGACAATGTCAGGTCGAGGTCAAGGAGAGGCTCACTAGCTCCACCCCCACCTGGATCAATACCAGACTCGCCATCCAGTCCAGCAAAAACAGATTTCCCCAAGTCACCATCGCCCGGTGGTTCGCCCCTTTCCCCATCACCATCGTTCTCCATATCGAAGCATGCATCCACTCCACCAGAGATGCCACTCGACTATAAACGCCCTCGACTAGTCAACAGACCAAGTAGATATGGAAGAGGCATACTGTCGGATCAAGTGCTCACTAAGATTCTTGCGAATCTAGACATACACGAGCTGATGAAGTTGCGTGTAATCTCTTCGCACTGGAACAAGTTGATATCAGAGTCGCCGGATATACTCCACGACCTTGATCTTAGCAAATACAATCGCAAAGTCACGGATCGATCGCTTGTGGACGTAATATGTCCATTCGTAGGCAGTCGTCCACGATACATCAATATCAGTAACTGTTTCCACGTGACAGACGAGGGTTTCGCCGAGCTGGCAAAGACTTGCGGTCCGAGCGTAAGAATTTGGCGCATGAAGAGCGTGTGGGACATCACCGGACCGGCTGTGCTGGAGATGGTGCAGAAGGCGAAGGGTCTTGAGGAGGTCGATCTCAGCAACTGCAGGAAAGTAGGCGACAACCTTCTCGCTCGAGTGATAGGGTGGGTGGTTCCAGAGATGCCACCTCAGATGGCAATGGCGCATGCGCAACATCAAGCTCAGATAAATGGTCGCCGACAAGGAAAGGGTGCTAATCAGCCTGCTCCGCAACCGCTGCCACCTGGTACTGTTGTTGGATGTCCGAAGCTGCGACGTCTCACGCTGAGCTACTGCAAACACATCACCGATCGCAGTATGGCACATATCGCCGTCCATGCAGCAAACCGCATCGAGAGCATCGACCTAACAAGATGCACGACTATCACCGACGTTGGCTTCCAACACTGGAGTGTCTATCCGTTTCCACGGTTGACAAAGCTGTGTCTCGCAGACTGCACATATCTGACCGACAACGCAATTGTGTACCTGACGAACGCAGCAAAAGGGCTCAAGGAACTGGATCTCGTAAGTCCACTATCTTCCATTTGATGCTAGACAGAATGCCCGTACTAACGCATATCAGTCTTTCTGCTGCGCCCTTTCTGACACCGCAACTGAAGTCCTTGCTCTCGGCCTCCCTTCACTTACACACCTCAACCTCGCCTTCTGCGGCTCCGCGGTCTCGGACACTTCTCTTCGCTGTATATCCCTACACCTCCTCGAACTCCGAAATCTCTCTGTACGAGGTTGTGTCCGCGTCACTGGCACTGGTGTTGAAGCTGTCGTGGAGGGCTGCAGAGACCTCGAACGCTTCGACGTTAGCCAGTGCAAGAATCTGGGTCGATGGATTGAAGCTGGTGGTGTAGAGAGTGTGAAAAGTCGCGGAAGAAACGTCAAATTTATATGCGTTAGCGATGGGAGGTGGAGAGATGGCAAGGGGAATGTGAGGAAATGATGAGGAAGATGACTTTGTATGGATACTATGTGTATGGTATATGTCAAGACGGCCGCGGCGATACATTTGGCTGATCTACGAAAGCGTGTACATTGAATCATGATAGAGGAGAACTACGATACGGATGTCGGCTTGATTGTATGTGTTTCTTGGTGGGGGTTTTCGCATCTACGCAAGATACCAGGCTTTTGTTCGGTGTATTAGCGATGTATTACTTGGAATATTAGATCTCCTTGCTCATGATAGCGGCTTCTTGTACGTTCTGATCTTTTCCACGAACTCAGGAAGGATTGAGTGTAGTTTCTCTTGTTCTTTCAAACTGTATTACACGGCGACGATGAGCCTCCTGCCCGCGTGTAATCATTTAAAATGCTCTAGCTTCATTTGGGTAGGCGTACTCTGGAGCCTAGACCATCGACACTCACCCGGCAGCTTGTGCTTTCTTTGTTTTACTTTACCCAACTGCTCCCGCGCAGGCAACTTGACCGCATTGCCCATCATCCCAGTCAAATATATCGATCTCGCCGCCCGACTTCGTTGCATACCTAGCCAAAGTCTCTGCCCCCAGAGTCGCTCGCCCACAATGTCAATACCAGCGAGGGAATCCGATCGAGCACATATCTCGGCGTCAGTGGTACCTCTATTACTTAATTCTGGTCGCTAACAAGCTTGGTAGTATGCTAAGGGATGTTGCACGTCTCTCAACCAAGCCTCAACAATCGACTCGCGAGTGTTATCGACGTAGAGTGGAAGTGAGAGTAAAGATCGAGGAGTACTCAAAATCCGAGTGTCTTACTCTCTGCTTGATGATGCAAGAGAAATTGCCTCGAGAGCTGAGAGATATGGTCTACGAAGCCCTACTTGGAGAACCTCAGACCTACTACCTTGACGACGATGCACACGGTTTGGGATTTTCGGATCCAGCTAACATTGTGGCCCACAATCCCCATATCGGCGACAAGTTGTTCCTCGGCGAAGAAACAATTACTGAACTTGCGGAAATGTGGTATCGGCACTCAGTCCTCAATTTCCTCGGTGATGCTACCGTGGCTCTCTTATTCGGCAACCAAACCTGGGCACTGCCTGAACTTGATCCCGCTCGGTTGATACGCCACGTATACATGACTCTAGCCCCCGGAGATCGTCAGAACAACATAAGATACCAGGCTGTGGAAGCTGGGGACGAGCTGCTTCTGCCATCGGACTTCGAGCAACTGGCGAAACTGCAGCAACCGGCGACCTTCACAATCGGTATCTACCTCGGACATTGGATTTACCATGGTGAGACGAGAGAAGACATGAAGACCTCCATCGATACAATGTTCAGAAGGGTCTTTCCGGTGTTGAAGCAGTTGATGGCTTCCAGTGCGGGCGTCGCTCTTGAGATATACAAAACGGAGCCTGTGAAAGTAGAATTGAAACATCTTGATAGCGAAGGTTGGTTGAAGCTGGTTCGTGGGGCGCATCTCCGACAGTGAAATAAGGTACAGGGTCACTCGCTCCAAAGGATCATGTTCAATATGAACGGGTTTGAGAAAACACCTAGGCATCTCGATTATGTCTAGTTCCGGCTAGTCAAAGCCCGATCGAGACTAGCCACGCTTAGCCTCGATCTCCACCTGGGCACCTGGCTTTTGCGAACAACCCGTTACTTCATTTTTCATACATCAACTTCCGCAACTCGTCCTATCCCCAGCATGTCACAAACTAATACGACTTTCGATCCGGCTCTTGTCTCCAGGTAAGTACTGCGGTTTAACTTGCAGTGCAACTACTCATAAATCCCAACAACAGTATGCTGAGAGAAGCTCAACGCCACGCGATGCAGAGTGCAACACTGCGAGACAAAGCGCGCGAACACGTCGAGAACTGGGCAAAATCATCGTGTCTTAGCCTGTATACGGAGATGCAATCGCGATTGCCCCGCGAGCTACGAAGCATGGTCTATGCATCAGTATTTCAAGATGCTGGTAGCTTCCTGGCATCTTGGCCGTACCCAGAAGGCGTACTAAAAGACTGCCCACATCTTCGCGATTTTACATATGTAGGCAATGAAACACTTGTCGAGTTAGCTGAAGAATGGCACCACTATTGCATCTTCGGCCTCGAGCTTGATGGCAACTGTCAGGGTCTCGTCGACACGGGAAGCGAGATTTGGGGGTTGCCTGGTCTGAATTTTGCCCGACATATCCGCCACGTGGAAGTCGAAGTACGTCCTGCATATTCGGAAGCATGTGTGGGATCCGATGACCCCATAGGATTGCCGGGAGGCTGGAGATGCCTGTATAAGCTGCAGCGACCGGCTACGCTTACCCTGAAGGCGGACTTCGTGGAATGGCTAGATGACCCTCAGCCAGGTGATTTGCATGCCCAGGTCGTTGAGCTGTTGACATACCTGATTGGCGCTGGTGTCAAAGTAACTGTTGAACTTGCAGCTTCTCATAGATCCAAACCCTACAGTGGAAGTGTTGGTTTGGAACATCTCGAGAACGATAGATGGTGTGATTTGCTTTACCGAGTATGGAATGATCAAATTGGGCGTGTGGTATGATTATCGGGTGACCTGTATAACAATAGACCATTACTTGGTTAGCACATGGAGTCCGTCAGAATAAAAGCAGAAGTAGTGAAAGGCCCTGTATGGATCTTAATTTCGTCGTTCCAAGATTGTTGCTCTTTCATGGAGCAACCCGACGCTGCCTCCCATCGAGGTTTACATGAAAACGCATTCAGTCTTCCGTCCTAGGTCTCCCACAGTTTTGATGTTTCTAGACACCACATCCGAGACGTTACGCTGTGTCCGACTCGATTCGTGCGTGTTGTCTGGAATGTCGCGCTGGGACATCGTGCTGAGACGACAGTTTGATAAACTCCATTCCTCTTTACTCCTTCAGCCAAACCTCTTGCCGTATCCCTTGACCACATCGTCTAATATAGTACGCATCCTCTTGCAACCTTCGATACCCACTGCCAGCATGCCCTCTAACCTCTCCATTCGTACCCTGGTCTCCATGACGCACACAGCGACGTTATCGGTATCCCCCAATGTCCCTACCGTCAAGAACGGCAGCTCCAATTCCTCCTGGTTGTTGAGATCCAACAGTGGATCATCGGCAGACGCGTTGTCCGCCGCTGACGCAGAAGCTGAAGAAGCAGCTGTGCAAGCGACCAGATAATCTGTCATTGGTATACCCGCATCGATAAGCGCCAATGTTGACGCATTGATACAGGCAGCCAGCAATGATCCGTCCTGCGAAATGATGTGGACATTCAATGTAATCGTCGAATGCGGGTAGAGATGTAGCAGCAACACGCCCTCAAACGCCGACCTCAGGCAGTGCTCCATCTCACTTGTCCGCTTATCGCTCTTCCTCTTCCTTCGCTCTACACCGCTGAAACCCGCGAAATTTATCTCGACCTCAACTTTGGCCTGCTTGTCTGCGCCGCCTCTTTGCCCTGACTGCTTGCCCTCGGCGGGACCGGTGACGGAAACGAGGATCTTGGTGTTGCCCATCTCGAGATATGACGACCCATCGGCGGCGGCTTGCGTGGAGATTTGCGCGTGGATTCGGCGTAGTTCGTTCCAGCGGCGGCCATCGAGGCGGAGGAGCGCGAGCGAGTAGGTGCTGGTGTCTAGCGGCATCTTGGCGGTGTCGCAGGATTGTGAAAGGAGGGCTGTATATTGCGCGACGCGGTTCGCCGACTTATGACTGTGGATGGTGAAGACAGCTGATTTTGGCAGGGCGTGCAATTGCGCGCGATGATGCGGGCGTGCAGGCTCGAGCTCCAGATTTTGGCGGAAGTTCTTGCAGGGGTCTTGTGCTAGTCGCGCCCCGCTTTCACGTGAGAGCGTGTTAGCGTGTTTGGGCAGCTTGGTGGCGCTTCCTTTCACGCTGCACTTCAGGTGCTTCCTTCCGTGACAATCGCCGCTAGCCAGGACCGTGCGCCAATATGCGATTGTCAAGCGCCGGTACCAGTGATAAGCTGAGCAAAGTCACACAGCGTTCACGACCGACGCCTGCTACCCGCCACCTCGGTCATCATGTCCTTCGGTCGCGAAAAGTCAAAGAATAATCAAAAAGGGGTAAGAGCCATCGCTGAAAGCGGCGAGAGCTTTAGTGACAGCGACGGCGCGGAAGATGACGGCCTTGACATCATCGAAAAGTCTAGGAAAGGTTTGGATCTCTCCCAGTATATTGACGGTCAGTCGATACTTCCTCGACCTTTGCCAATATGCTAATACTTGGCAGTCCTGACTCAGAGCCAAACTCAAAGCCAGACCCAGTCACAAAAGGTTACAGACGAGGTCACAGAAGACGAAGACGAAGAAGACGACGATAATGATGACGATGCAATGGATGAACCAGAACCACGAACTAGAGATGCCACTAGCTCAGGTACCGATGACGATGAGTTGTTAGAAGCCGAGTACGATACAAGGGCTTTTCACAAGGAATGGACGGGACGCAAGACCGAGAAACGGAAGCGCACCACTGCTGAAACCAACCGAATTCGCAGTGAAAAGAAGAGCAAAGCAACGGCTGCAACCAGTATCGTGGGTCGCAGACCTCCACCCAAGAAAAATGGATATGGTCCGACAGGCTTCAGTACCGACACCTTAGCCGATGATGAGGGCGCGACAGCTTTCCTAGACGACCCCATTCCTGACTACTTCATATCGCGACAGAAGACACTCAAGAAGTTGCACGAATCTGGACTGCGATACCCTCCTAGTTATCACGACGTTGACTGGGACAACGCGGGCACTGAAGAGAAGCCAGAACTTGACAACTCCGTACAGCAGCAGCGCGAAAAGAAGGACATCAGACTCCGCGGGTCGCATGGGATCATACCTGGCCCCATCGCTCAATGGTTGCGCGACTACCAGGTTGAAGGCGTCCAGTTCTTGCATGAAAAGTTCGTCAAGCAGACCGGTGCGATTCTAGGTGATGACATGGGACTGGGAAAGACTATCCAGGTCATCGCATTCCTCACAGCAGCATTTGGTAAGACGGGCACTGAGCGCGATGCCAAATGCATGCGAAAGATTCGTGGTCTGGGCAAGGCTCGTTGGTATCCGCGGGTGCTCATCGTCTGCCCTGGTACGCTCATGCAAAATTGGGAAGATGAGCTCTCCAAGTGGGGCTGGTGGGAAGTCTACAAATATCATGGCCCCGACAAGGCAGATCGGAAAGGCGTCCTCGGCGCTGCAGCTAAGGGTAGGTTAGAGATTATGATTACGACATACACGACATACCGCAATCATGAGAGCGAGATCAACACCATCGACTGGGACTGTGTCATCGCTGATGAGTGCCATCAAATCAAGAGCAAGGACTCCGAGATCACCAAAGCAATGAACAAAATCAACGCACTGTGTCGCATTGGGTTGACAGGTACCGCGATTCAGAACAAATATGAAGAGCTCTGGAACCTCCTCAACTGGGTACGACCTGGCGCATACGGGTCAGCCCAAGAGTGGAAGCAGAAGATTAGTCTTCCGCTGAAGCTAGGCCAGGCTCACGATGCCACCAACGCTCAGCTTGCCGACTCGCGAAGTCGAGCTCAGGATCTCGTTCACAATATCCTACCTAGTGTCTTCCTTCGGCGTATGAAGACCCTGATCGCTGACCAGTTACCAAAGAAGAGCGATCGCGTCATATTCTGCCAGCTCACTGAGACTCAAGCTGACGCCTATCGAACCTTCCTTGAAAGCGACAGGTGTGAGTACATACGCACTTCGAGAGAAAAGTGCGATTGTGGGTCCGGGAAAAGCAGAGGTTTCTGTTGTTACGCCGAAGTCGAAGGCGAGAAGTGGTCAAACTTCATCTTTCCCTGCATGGTCACATTTCAGAAACTCGCAAATCACCTAGCCCTAATCGTGCCAATGTCGAGCGAGAATCCAGAGAAGCAAGCCAAAGATCGTCAAACACTGGAGCTAGCCTGCCCTAATACGCACAAGGATCTCTTCAGGATTCGAGACAACATCTTGGTACAGTCTCAGCGAGAGTTTTGTGGAAAATGGAAAGTACTGCGGCGACTACTTGACTTCTGGCACTCGAATGGCGACAAGGTGCTTATCTTCTCACATTCCGTTCGCCTGTTGAGGCTACTTAGAGGTCTCTTCGATGTCGACGGTACAAAGTACAATTTCTCGTACCTTGATGGCAGCATGAAGTACGAGGATCGTTCCCAGGCTGTTGCAGACTTCAACGCAGATCCCAACCAGTTCGTGTTCCTAATCAGCACTAAGGCGGGAGGAGTGGGTCTGAACATCACGTCCGCTAACAAGGTTGTCGTGATGGATCCGCATTGGAATCCAGCCTATGACCTGCAGGCACAAGATCGAGCGTACCGTATTGGTCAGACACGCAACGTTGAGGTATTTCGACTAGTGTCAAGCGGTACTATCGAGGAGGTGGTCTACGCTCGTCAGATTTACAAGCAACAGCAAGCGAACATTGGTTACAATGCTTCGGAAGAACGTCGCTACTTCAAGGGTGTGATGGATCAATCCACAAAGAAGGGCGAGCTGTTTGGTCTGGAAAACCTCTTCACCTTCCAGGAGCACAGCGTGCTGCTTCGCGACATCATGCACAAGACGAACGTCGCTGAATCAAAAGCCGGCGTCAACGCTTATGACTACCATGTCGATGAGTCGCAGTACGACTCTGAGGATGAGGATATACTTTCCAACAAGAACCTCGGCCTTGATGACGACGCTAATATCGCCGGTATCAAGAAGTTCGCTGATTCACTTCTATCTACAACCACTGGTGGCAAGGGCAAGATGAGAGCCACAAGGCGCACTGGGCCTGATCCAATCAACGCAATTCTTGCGAAGGCTGGAGTTCAATATACGCACGAGAACTCAGAGGTCATCGGACGCAGCGAGATAGAAGCTCGACTAGGTAAACAGGCCATGGAGGTACGCAACGACATCGATCTTGCAGGCAAACGCGTCTTCCAGGGTACGCAGTCGCAATCTCAATCGCAGCACCAATCCAGAAATCGGGATGATGGGGATGAGACCGACGCTGAAGACGACGAGGTCCATCTTACTGATAGTGCGACGAAAGGCGAGTTCAAGATCAATTACCGGTATAGGCCGAGCGAGGATGTGCGAAAGCGGCAGTTCTGTAGCATGGCGGAGAGTATGGGCTTTGATGATCCGGTCGAATTTGCGCTACTTGTGGAAAGCAGTACGCAAGAGGAGAGGAGGAAGATGCTCGAGCGCTTCTATCGTGGGCGGAGGAGGCAGATGATGGGTGATCTTGGTACACCGAGATAGCCTGCACAGTCACTCCGTGTGTTGCGCGCAATCGCTTAGATGTCCTGGAGGAGGCATTCGTCAATGTAGATATCCGTATCGTCCAAAAATATAATGCCGTGATTGTCGTTGCGTTACGTCGCACCTTCCTGCACCGGCTCGCTAACCCCACAATCGCACCCAGCCACTCGGTTACACTAAATCAAAGCTTTCCAAACATCACCACGACGCCCAAGAATGCCAATTTGCGGATTTCAGCCTTGACATGAGAAAATCTGTAGAAATATACCGTGCAAAGTAAATGGCTCGTGGTGCAAGCGATACGCAGGTAGTGTACCGATCCAGGCAAGGCTGTTGCTGTTGCCTCTTACCTTCGTCTCAGTCGTCCCTTGTATCTTCATGGGTTATTTACCATGTATCATTCGCTCCTCGATGTGTTCTTCTGACTATCGAACCAAGCGCATTTATGAAGAGGCGTCTCATCCGGATCGACTGGAATAACCAGCAGGCTCAGGGCAGGCATGCGCTCCCAGTAGTGTCATTGAGACACCCTGCCATCTTTCGCACACTGCCGGGCTGCGATCCGAACTTTAGCCAAGATTCAGCCATCGTTGGCTAAAGCATACCGCGGGGAACAACGTGCATCATGGTGCATATCCTCCACGTCGGCACGAGCATATCTTCCCGACCAGTGGAAGTAGAAGCCGACAGGGTGGTCGAGTCAAGACGGAGAAGAGCTAGCGGAAACGGAGGGGCTTTTCTGGACTTTCTCTAGCGATACGCGGATGTGTGTCGGAATGCAGCGAGTACCTCCGCAGTGGTATGGCAGTGGTTACAGTGCTAAGGAGGCTAGCTTTGCCATGGCGATGATGGCCTTGGTATCCTCGTTGCACCGGGATTGCGGCTCCAAAATTTCGGCCGGGTACGGGCGTAGAAAACGTTGCGCCAAATGTTACGAGATTTGCAGTCCACTGCGGCTGGCCTTTGCGGAGACAGAAGAAGAGCAGTCTCTCTTTACCACCAAGACATACGATCCTCACTCGGAGCTTTAAGCACTCACTGACACTGTTATCCTGGAGAAGGCACCGGAATCTCATAACCGGCATGCGGCACGCCCCCGGATCGGACGTTTTCCAAATGCTCCGTAATCGTGAATGTCGAGTCATTTACAAAGGGCGGAATGTGGAGTTGCGCGTCAGGCCCAGGGTGCGCAGTTTTTTGTTTGCTCACATGACAGCTGAGCTACCAGCTCGAAAGGGTGTGTCGAACCGTTCGTTATATGTCATGAGCATTCGTAGCGTGTGCGCGCACCCAATCACCAATCTGCCGGACCAGTATTCGGCGGGAAATGAGGGCTTAGCTTCGGGGGCTTT